GGTGTCCGAGTGCATAGTCTCAACCGTACGTGGGCTGCATTTATTCCCCAGTGTTACTTTGCACAGCCACATTATAATATAACCTTTAGTTACAATGTCGCTACTTTTTTTTTGTTATGAACATGAAAAAACTTCGCTTTCCTTCTAAGTAGATTGGTACCGTTCTGTGTGATTGATTCTGAATTCAGATCTATAAACTCAACTTTTAGTAGATCTTCATTTTTCATATCATATAATATAATAATTTAATATAGTTTTTCCTTCTCGAATTTTTGTAATTCCTGTCTCCGGCTTTCCATAGCTCGTCGCATATTGTTGTTATGCGTAGATTGTCGCTCCACCTAGTGAGCGTCGGGCTACATTTACCTTTCCGTAAATCACTTCGTCTTTTTTCTTACCAGCCCGTCATAGTCCACTGCTGAACATTGGCCTCTCTCGTTGTCAGGATGAGTTAATTTAAGAGACGTATTGACGATTGCAGAACCAGACTTCTCGTAGCTTTGTCCCTTTGACCACGCGTTGATCTGATATTTACATCTGGTCTAAAGGAAATAATTATACTAACATTTATCGGGACCCATATGATTTTGTTATTCCATAGTCGCCTTCGATACGATACGATACACCCGGTAGAAATAGGAATGATGTATTCTCTTATATAGGCAAAGATAATACGTCACCACACTGCATCACTGGCATCAATCACTATAGGTGTAAAAATGGCGTCTTTACAACAGCTGATTGATTTAATGGATGTTATGATATTATAATTTTTTAAGCTTGATATTATTTAAACTTAACGTGAAACGTTTTAAGGTAATATAATCCTGTCAGATTATGTATTTCACCGAGTGGGTATCAATAATTATGCGAAAAATAAAATAATATTGTATTTGGAAGGTTCAATTTTCCATTCGTTCACTCATTCTATTCCACAGAGTACGCAATCGAGAATATCCATTGATTGATATCTAAAGCGCACAATTATTTTCCTTTAACTACTCTTGTATAATTAGTTTTAATGAAATCGGGCCTTAGTTGCAAATTTAAACATAATTTTACCGTTGTACGATCGTTTATACAGAGCTTATATAAGCCTGACTATACATAATAAGGAATATCCGCGATCATATTTGTGCCTCAGCTGATATTATCGTCCACATCCTGTACTGAACCTCACGTTTATGCGGGAAGTGCTGTCAATATCGCGTCCTCTAATATAATCAAGATAGAGTGTTCTGATCGACGCGATTAGAATTGTTATAATAAGGAAAGTGTGAATATGATGTTATTGAAATAAATATCTCATAAGCCAATACCGTTATTCGTTGTTAAGGAAAAAAAAACAATTTATTAACGCCCTGGTCTTAAGCCATAACGCGTTTATCATTATATACTTCTGGAGTGCTCAACACAGTTTACAATATGTTCGACAAGCACTCACAATTATCCTCTTCTCAAGGTTTCTCCACATCCCCGAGTAGGTGGTAAATTATTGGCACTTAAAATTGCATCTTTATTTATTTATTTAGGATTTGGTAGAGATACGCTGCAGCTTTATTATGGTTATAGTACAAATGCAGTGTAAGTCAGCTTGATCAGGGGCGGATTACGCTCTTATAGAATACCAGCGGAAAGTAGGAATGTAATGCTGCTATGTTGCGTAGTGGGGGTAGGAAACGGCGACCCTTTTTACTGGAAATGAAGCGTTCCATCTTAGTACTCAAGGGTGATAATGCATCTGCATTTTGATTCTTAATCGTTGGTAGATGTAGATGTTTATGTGTCACACCATCCACTTACTATTTGGCGGACGGTGTAGAAACAATTAACATTCTAGTTCGGGTATGTTTTCTTTTAATATAATATGATATAATTGACATGATTGACGTTATTGCTTACGTTTGGCAAGGTTTAGCAGACGAATTGGCTATTATAATAGCAGATGTCACCATGACTGGAACTCATATCTAATTTAAACCTCGCTCTCGTACTGAGAAATTAACGCTGAGCGTCCTGTTCTTTAACGGTTATTAAAGTAAATATTTTTTATTTTAAATTTGAAGTCTAGGATACAGACAATAAAATAGAACAAGTCTGTCACACAGGTTCAATAGCTAAGTTATAACTAACTTTATCGTAATAACTTTTTTACTTCCTCGTTTTGTTTTTCCTGGCTTCTGTCCATACGAGCAGCGCACGACTGTTTAAAGCTTCTGCAAGTAGGGCACAATCGATCAGCGATAAGCAAGTTCTGGAATAGGGGTGCCAACTTTTATTTCGGAAGTGCAGAAATATGCATCTCGTTTCTAGAATTTTTAACATTTTTGTGTATGTTGACTTAATACTATCATACATCATAATATAATTCGCATTGTCAATTTTAATGATGCTTCTAAAGTAGACTTATCCTTTAAAGTTACCCTACTAGGAAAATTCTCTTGAATCGTGGACCAAAACTTATCCCGTGCAGGATTTGAATCTGCGGCCCGAATTGCAGCCGCAGTTTTTTATAATTTTGATTTGTTATCAAGTAGATGCTGCCTATCTCCTGTTTCATTTTCCCTCGGTCGCCTCTTACGACAGCCTCGGGACGATATGGGGGTAGTGGATATTTTTATACCGCCGTTACACGGTTACAAATTCAATACGATAGAAAATTCCAAGTACCAAGATGTGAAAATATATGTTATACATCAATATAGATTCTAAAAAAATAAGATTTCTGAACCCCATTTAAAACGTAACTTCTCAATAATAATGACGTTGTGTAACAAATAACCTCACTTCACCACCAACTAGCGACATCTGGTGAACGGAAGATTACTAACCATCATTACTGGCGTCGGCTTAGACCCGAAACGAAAACCAAATGTGACCAATAGGCCAAACCGTCGTCAGATAGCTAATTACTTTATGCTCGTCAGTCGTCACGGTGGAGCGGAGAGGAAGACGAGGTTTTTTGATTTGTAACATCTATTGGCGCGCTTTGGCAATAAAACCGACCCATATGTCGTAACGGCAAATGGCATGACGGTCTCTTGTGCCGCCATGCCCCCTACGACACCGTTTTCCAATCCCTTATGTTGGTATGAGCGTATACTATATACTTCATTGTTTTTCTGTATAAGTTGTGTACTGTGTGTGCATTTCTATTTATTTTTATTTTACTTCATTTTTCTTTATTGGTTATCATTAGTTATAAATTCAACCATCAACCATTTTTACGAGGCGTGTGTGTTCGTTTCACGTGAACGTACAAACTTGCCCTGATATCGCATGCTACCAAACTGTAATTATCTGCTGGAAAAGCAATGTCATTTCCGGGGTAACTTTCCCTTGTTTTTATTTATATATCAAAATTGTTTCTATGTTGCATTCCGGATTATATGCTGGGCTTTTCATAGTATTCTTTATTTCAAAATAATCTTGATGAAATCACTTTTATTTATTCGATAGATGCATTATTTAAACATTGGATTGTTTATTAAATATAGCTTGTTTATTTAATATGGCTTATGACCTTTAATGTGTAGAAAGATGGGTTTTAATATCCGTTCTTTATTATGTATACAAATACTTCAAATGAAATCAAATCTAAGAATGATTACAAAAGTTAAAGGAATTCAAATTCAATATCAACATAAACATAGTAAAAAACCTTTTCACGCAGCAAAAGGTAGTACCTACTACTATTTACTTGCACTGTATAATTACGACAGTGCGAAATTGCCTTAAATTGACTTTGAAGACTCATTCAATTTTGCTGTGTTTTGAAGGCTAAAGAGAATCCGTCACGCCATTTTATCTCGAGAGTGCAGTAAAAGGCGATTATGGGATACGCCAAAATGGCACTTAAAGGTTTTAGTAGACTCAGACCGCCGATGAGAAGCAGCGTTAAAGGTATGAAAGGTACTGATACTGCTCACATCAATCCATCTGCCAAGAGGCTGCAAAATAGAATAGAATTTATCTACAATAAAGTTCGTAGCTAAAATTTACTTGGTAGAGCCATGCTGCAGCTATATTATTGGTATAGTTGTAGCACGAATGGGTCAGCTCGACCGATGTAGGACCATGCTATCACAGAATACCAGCGTAAAATGGTAGCTTAACGTTGCTGTGTTCCGTATGGTGAGTGTAGAGTACCTCGGAAAAAGGGTCTCCTTTTTACGAGGCTTTCCATCTTAGTCCTCTGAGGTGACAACGCATCTGCATTTTGATTTGTAATCGAGGATAGATGTAGATGTCTATGGGCCGCAGCAACCACTTACCATCAGGTGGACTGTGTGCTCGTTTGTCACCCTTATCTTATAAAAAAAGTTTAAAACTGGAAACAACGATATTTAAGAAGATTTATTCATTAACATTCAGTATTTTTGAGGTATTTTTTTATTCTCGAAAGAATACAAATCAAAAACACAACTAATTGTGTGCTGACTACACTAAGATTTCTTTTTTCAATTTACTTTAATTTACGAGATACTCATAAAATAATTTTGGCGCTTAGTACATCATTTTTATTTCGTACAATCTCAATCGGATTCGAACCATAAGTATTTTGCTGTTATTGCTGATTCTAAGTCACAATCGCTTTGTTAAGATGGGATTCTACGCTTTCTTCAAGAAAATCTTCTCTACCATGGGAGAAGCCTTTAACCAGCAGGGGATTTTTACAAGCTGATGAAGAAGAAGAAATAGACAATTGCCGTGTGGTGGCGACGTATCAGGATCTATCACTCTACTCGTATCTCCACTTGTGGGTATTGTAAGACCTCTTAGAGAATTGGCAGGGATATTCCGCGACCTTCGTAGGCTGGTATAAAGACGATATAACTATCCCAAAATTTCCCAATTCTAGTACTGTCACCGATTCGCCTTAAGGGTCGGCAATACAACAAACCCTGCCATCATGTTTGAACACTATTGATCAGCAGATAACTGTTCAGAAGCTGCGTAAAAAGATGTTCATTAATTTCTTTATTTTTTTTTTGTTACAGACAAGTTTTATCTCACATAAAGAATATCCCGGAGTTAATACTGCTAGGAAGCGCATCGCCAACAGTCCGAAGGCTACCGATCTTCTCACTCATGGTGAAACATCCACGGGGCACTTTTCTTCACCATAAATTCGTCTGCGCGGTTCTGAATGACGTGTTCGGGATTCAGGCTAGAGGTGGCCTCACCACTGACCTCAACTACGGCTCTGATGTGTTAGGAATTGACAATCAACTCCTTAAGGAATATGAGAAGCTGTTAGATGTTGAAGCGTAAGTATCTAATGCTAATATACATAAGGTTAAGTAATGTATGCAGTGAAGTGGCGGTGGTGGCAGCGGAAGATATCATGCCGTAAGTGTTGTGAGAGGCGGCAGAAGGAAATGAAACGGTAGATAGGCAGCACGCATCATCTTACCAATAACAACTAAGATGATAAAAAATATGGTTACCAACCCGCCTGCCAAGTGCTGCAACTGTGGCATGGACGTGGGTCCTCTTTCATTTACGAGAGCGTTATGAAGTCAGTAATCCACCGCGTTGTCCTTAACGTGTCCTTGAAACATTTTATTCCTGAGACACGAAGGATTCCTCACGATGTTCCTCCAACGCTGCTTTTTGTAAATCAGCACTTAAAATCTAAATTGTCAACTTCATTGGCGCATATGAGGATCGAATGCTTTAGTCTAATAATTATAGAAATTTTTCCTTAAACCATTTGTGCAAATATAATCTTGATCTTGAGTCTGCAAAACAAAATTAGCCTAATTATTCAAACGAACTAATATCAATATCTCTTGGCTATTGCATAGTTTTCGTTATGGTTGAAACCAGTTCCTCATTTGATTTCTTCTCAATTCATTATAGACTTCCGCAATTACGGTACTACTTCTTGATTGCACCGCTTTAGATTCTTAATAAATATTAATAGCTATAAATATTAATTTATCAGATACGTCATAAAATACAGAACTTATCTATATAATATAGTAAATTAAAAATGTACTTACATATAAAATCTTCAATCTGTTTCTAGGTTAGAATTAATAACTTCCTATCGGTAATTAATTTATTGGTGTGTTTATATAAAAAAAGTAAATGTTCGTTTGTTCAAAAACTTAATTCCCTGTAAGTTCTTCACAGATTGTTTTGAAATTTTAACACATAGTTGATTTCGAATACGCGCGTGTTTTTATATACTTTTGAAAAACTTTTTGAACCACAACAACACGTAGCCGGTTACAGCGAGTGAATTTATAATAATAGTAGCACACGAACAAGCTTGTGTTTTACATGCGAGCAATTATCGATGGAATTCAAAGGTCGCTTCAAGAAACACACTTAATAATTGTACTACTATGTCATGAATTATTCAAACCTAGAATGGTCCAACATTTATACAAAATACAAATTGTTAGATAGATTTCTCTGTCGTTGCATCGGATATGCGTTATAAGGATTACACTGTTTGATGTGAATGGGATTAGATGAGGGTATTTGAGTTAGTACTTATACTTGAGGCACTATAAAATATTTTGTGAAGTTGATTACTTTTTTAACTATTTTTATAAGCCAATGCTTGCCTACTTTCCCACGTGATGGTAAGTCATGATGTATACGAAGATGGTATTAGTTATACTTACAATATTTACTCTAACACTGAATTACCTAATGATTGGTCTTATTACTCTAGAAACGGCGTGAAGACAGCACTCACATTGGAATCGGATGCAAAGACATGTAGATTATTCCTCTCTATTGATGTTCGCATTACGAACGTCGAAACAAACCGTTTAAATCGAATGTGCTTTTTCGATAACCAAAGTGTAGATCCAGTCCAGCTTCAGATTGTCCGTTGGCGAAAGGGCGCTGGAAGATTTAATTCGTGCAATTTCAATTTACTGCAAAATATTTAAAATACTTGTTTTAATTTCAGGCAAAAAGAAGTTGCACGAGTTCGCAAATTGAGCGCTGTGAAAGCACCAGATGTACCAATACATAATGAGCACATGAGACCAGGCTTCTGCAGGGTGTCTTTGCCCTTCTTTATGTCTGACAATGAACTGGCCTTCGTTTTAGAAGCATTGAAAATGGTCGCCACTGAAGGTTGGAAGATCCTGCCTCAGTACGTAGTTAATACCGAAACAGGGCAGTGGAGACATCACACCTGCTCTATGCTTCGCGATAGAAAATCCTTATATTCATTAAAATTCATTGACGGACAAATGACAGCTTGCGAGCGAAGGATATCTGGTAAACATCTTTTTACCCATAAGGTATTTATTATAATATGAAAGTGACTGTATTAAAAATATGTACATTTTTTCTCAGGTCCCGGAATTTTTCCACAAACTTTTACTGAATGCTTACAAACAGCAAGAAATCTATTCAACAGAGCCAGGAAACTGGCAATGAAATGTTCAACAATTGAGCCTGAAGTTGGATTCAATCCGCGAATAGACTATCTAAGATGGTTTATGCTGCCTAAAGAAGCCCACGATCTGCTGCTAGGTCGATCTGCGAACGTAAAGCATATTGTACCTTTCGATCCATCTGGATATACAGGAGCAAGAAAGAGCTTAAACTTTTGCAGGTCATCAGCGACTTCTTCTCCTATTTTCGGATCATCTTCAAGACATTTCAGCCTCTCAGCTATAGAAGACTGCCCAATTTTTCGATCCAAGCAAAAACAAAAGTTCTATTCCAGAGAGTCAAGCTTGAAAGAGACGTCAAAAGAACAAGTCGTCAAAGCAACACATCCAGTAAAATTCGCATTGGGTGAATCTGTGTCACCACTACGAATGGTTCGTCAGTCATTTAAACCTATGATGGGTAGATCTAGATGCTATAGTTTGGGTTCAGATAGTCCACCAGTCCTATTAAGCGCACAAACACAAATGAATCTGGGTCTCAAGGAAACAAGTCCTAGTAACGAGAGTAAGGCGAACGGTTTTTGTAACTGTAGCAGCCAAACAGACCTCCAATCATTGGATGATCCAATGATGTCTCCTGAAAAGGTATTCCCGTATAGCGCTCAAAGTAGTACCTCTATCTCCGACTGCAGCCAGACGGGTCGTTTTTCACCAACTACTTCCATAACATCGCAAACATCAGAAGATATACAAGCATACGTCAAGGAGATGACTAGAGAACTGGCTACTGAAATCAAATCAGAAATCAGGGGAGTTATTTCTAAAGTCGATGATATACTTGACAATTCTGATTCCATAGAACAATCAAATCTCAGTATGAACTCAGTATCTAGTCAGAGTGATAAGAATTCTGTATCCATCATAGATGTAGCTGAATATTTAATGGGAGTGTCAAGGGAAATGGCTTCGGAAGTAAAACATGAAATCCGAGAAATGGTTAATCAGGTTGACGAAATGATTTCACCGGATTATGCTAGTTTATGTTCGAGAAGAATTTCTCCTCCTCAAGTAGGAAGACGAAGAATAGGGTCAGGCCCGGAACTAGGTCTAGATTTACAAAAATCAACACAGAGCCTAAGGAAGTGCACTACTAGCCCAATACTTCCATCCCACATTACCCATGGCGATGAAAGCAATTTCGAAAAGAAATCTCCAAGTATACAGTCTCCTAAATCAGCTCATGGTACACCTTCACATGAGGCATCTGGACTGAACAACATCTCCTTCACCTCGAGTGAAACTTCCACGCCAGATACAATTATTCAAGTGGTGACCACAGCTCAAGACTCCCCGGTTCTACCAAAATCTTCAAGTTCAAACAAACTCTCTGATGACGAAACCAGCTGCGCAGATGTAACGTGCGGAGCCTGTTGTATAAAGAAGACTTGGTGCCAAAATCCTTCCATCAGCTCGCAAGATAGCGGCATCAATATGACCTTCACTGAAACAGACTCTTATTTAGATTTTGGTAAGTAGTACTGCAGCTATATTAGTAGTATAGTTTAAGCACGAATGGGTCGGCTCGACCGCGGAAGGACCACGCTCTCACAAATTACCAGCGTAAAATAACAGTTTAACACACTGTGTTTCGTGTGATGAGTGTAGAGAACCGGAGACCCTTCTTACTGGAAAAGAGGCATTCCATCTTAGTTCTCACGGGTGACAACGCATCTGTATTTTGAATCTTGATTGTGGATTGATGTAGATGTCTATGAGTCACAGCACCCTCTTGCCAACAGGTGGACTGTGTAGTTGTTTGTTACCCTATCCTATAAAAAAGTGGTCATATATTATTTTATTATGTTAAAGCGTGTGAAGTTTATTAATTTGTTTAATTAAGGACATAGAAGAGGCAAGGCCTAGGATTACTAATTTGAGTTCTTGGCACACAGTATACATATAATAGCCCGGTTCTATAGCACTGCCGTTGCTTAGGTTGCAGATTCATGAACATTGAAATTTTATGGATTGTGATAAATTGAGGGGATTTGCTAGTGACTGTGACTGTATTTTATACATTGTCAATGTTGCCCCGAATATAAATGGGCTTCCTATATTTTTAGTATCTTCCAGAGGATGACACCACGGTAGGGAAGGATCTGCAACGATCGCAGTACGACAGAGCTTCATTACAAATGTTTTTATTATTGTTTTGTAAATGCAGCCTACTGCTAGTGCTGGAATTTCAATGTTCACTATTCATTAACATTTTAGTATATTACTCGTATATTTAACTGTGATGTCACAACTGTTAGTTAGTTCATTTTAACAGCTTCATCGAACTCAGGGTTCACGGTCTGTAATAATTTTATGTTATGTGTAATGATATAGTGTCTATAAAATATGATTCATTCTTAGTAGACTTTGTCACTGCTAGTTAATTTCCTTATACTTAACGGCATTAAAATGCCTCTAAAAATATGTCTTGTACCTGCGTTACGAGTTACTCATGGCGCCAGTATGAACATCTAGTTATTGGCCGCTCGTGTCCAGATTTAGCCGTGTTTTATTACGTTCGGTAAATTTTTATGTGCTCGTAAATATTGTACAAATAGGTCGCCGTTTAGTGGATGTTGTATTAGTCCTCTATATACGTTGTTTTTTATGAGTTACGAAAGTTGTACATAGTTTTAATATTCTCAATATTATCCACTACTGAACCAAAGGCCTGTTCCAAGTTTGAAATATTCTTCAGATCTACGTTTGATAGATCAATAGTTAATCGCAATATCGATCGCCTTGCGTCGTCAACGCTACAACAGACCGAATGTATAGCAATCTCAGTCTTTAGCAAATGGCGAAAATTTGAGATAAGTATTGCGCTATTCGCCAGAGACCATAGAATTATTCTGGTATATAATATAGTTGAGCTTTATGACATCCTTCAATCGTTCATTTATTTCAGTCTATCAAAAATTTACAGCTGAACACAGACTCTCCCCACAGATTGCCTCAAAAATGGGATGGAGCCATAATTGCCACATTCGGGAGGCGGGTTGGCAACCGTAGTTTTTTTAAAGTTATTATCAGGAAGGTGTTCAAGCCCATCTACTGTTTAAGTTTCCATACTCACGGGATGATATTGGGTAGTGGATTCTTTTTAACACTGCGACACACGGCGTGATAACACTCGTATTCGTTAATATTTTGTTTATATAAGTCTTAATTAAATACTTTAATCTTATTTCAGTAAAATGGCGGACATCGTCCGACCCGACGACAAATAAATTAAAGAAATTGCAAGGAAGACTAAGAATGTGCAAACACGAAAAGAGCGAAGTGCCAGACATCATAGAGGGAGTGCCGGTTGGTGATCACGCGAGAACTGACTCGGGGTGTACCGAAGCAACAGGCAACGCTGGTAGAGTTGCTTTCCAAATATCAGATGAAGGAGAAAGGCAGAATGTGTAAGTATGCGAAATTATTGCATTTATTTGAGTATTCAATTGAAACAGCTTAGCGTGAGTTCCTAGATCAGACATTTTTTCGTTATAATATTGACACAATAGTGAAAAAATGTTCAGGGCTCGATGTCACCATGTAAACCGTGTCTTCCCTTCATTCATCGGCGATAACCTTTTCTACTTTATATTATACAAAGGTAGCAAAGTAGTTCAAGTTGCCAATGTTCTACCAGATATTTTTATTTCAATACCTGTGCATGAAAACACTTTTTTGCTCAAAGTCGCTTCCATCACTGTGATAAGCATCCTATATTTTAAATAAGCAAGCAATTCTTGTATGTCTTTATATATAAAAATGATGTGTCACATTGTTTGTCCGCGATGAACTTCTAAACTACTGAACTGATTTCAATTAAATTTTGTAAATGTGTATTGCTTCCTCCAATTTAAAAGATAGGATAGTTTTTATCCCGATAAGTTTTTAATCTTCCTTATTTTGTTTTGCGTTTTTTAGGAAAAAAGGTCGTTGGAACAAGCAGAACGACATCTGCATATATGTATAACTATTTTCTTTTTTCAAAGGGCTTTAACGATTTCAATGGAATTTTGTATTTGAGTATATTTTACTTTCCAAATTTACGAAAGCGACACTGAAAGTTTTTAGAACTGGCCACTTGTAAACGACGTAATAAAAAATAAGTTCAAGTTTAGAAAATGGAACTCTTTGCGAATATTATTGTGTATGTATTTTACTAACTTGTCTTTTGTTTACGATTTGGCGGTGAATTGAAAACTGTCGGTGTCACTTCAGCATGAATTTAACGCGAGATAATTTTCGTACAATGATTTTTTATGATTTTCGATGTCATTTAAGTCAACAAGAAAGTTATGATAGACCTCGATTGGCCTTTCACGATGAAGCTCCATCACGTGCCACTGCTTACAACTAGTTTAATGAGTTTAAACGTGGTCGCACTTGATGATCTGCGTGAGGGACGGCCTTCTACGGCGACGACTGAAGATAACATCAGTGTTATGCGGCGTATGATAGAGACTGACAAAAGAGTGACTTATCAGCAGATTTGGACAAGCTTAGCCATCGGTATGAGTCAAGTGCACAAAATCCTCCATAAACATTTAGCGGTCAATAAGCTTTGTGCCCGGTGGATACCTCATAATTTGACAGAGGCGCAAAAACTCCGTCGTGTTGATTGTTGTCGTGAAATGGTTCAAAGATTTAACGGAGGTGATTCAAAGGCTGTGTTCGACATACTTACTGGTGACGAAAGCTGGATTTATTGTTATGACCCTGAAACTAAGATACAGTGTGCTGTATGGGTGTTTCCTTCCGAGGAGTTGCCAACTAAAGTTAAGAGAGGTCGAAACGTGGGAAAAAATATGGTGGCCTCTTTCTTTGGTAGGACAGGTCATTACGCAACGATTGTTTTAGAGAATTGAAAAACAGTTACTGCAGAGTGGTACACTAACAATCATTTGCCACTTGTCTTGGAAAAAGTTCGGGAGAAACGACCTTGCAGTAGGATCCTTATTCACCACGACAACGCCTCGTCGTACACCGCCAAGCAAACAATCGACTACTTGGCAACGTCAGACGTGGTATTACTAGGTCATCCGCCCTATAGCCCGACCTCGCACCTTGTTATTATTATTTATTTCCGAAAATAAAAGAAAAATTTCGAGGCGAAGATAACCTTCTAGAGCTTTTTAAGCATACTTCGCGCATGGCCGAGTGTGAGATTTGGTATAGTTTAATTTTATATGGAGTAGAAGTGCAGAAAGCTAACATTTATATATAATATGAGTTACAATAACGTTAAATAAAATAATACATTCTTTACGTTATTTTTTTCTTTTTTATACGATACACGAGCAACAAGCGAGCACACAGTCCACCTGAATTAAGTGGTTGTTGTGATAGACAGACATCTTCATCTAATCCTCGTTTGCTAATCATAATGCAGATGCGTTGTCACCCGTGAGGACTAAGATGGAATGCCTCTTTTCCAGTAAAAAGGGTCTCCGGGTCTCTACACTCACCATACGAAACAGAGCAGTGTTAAACTGCTATTTTACGTTGGTATTCTGTGAGAGCGTGGTCCGTCCTCGGTCGAGCCATTCATTCGTGCTACGACTATACAATTAATATAGCTGCAGCATGGCTCTACCACGTAATGTCAATGTCAAACACCTGAATAGAACACTATTACTTCTATCAAGAGCACAGAACATAGTAATTATAGATAAATAGATATCTAACAAGCTAATAGTAATAAGTAAAAATAATGTAGTGGCCAGATTTAAATTGACTATTACTTTCGCACAGACTAGAGATTGCCAAGAGTAATTACTAGCATGTATGTAATTACTCTAGGAGAGATAGTCGCTCAAAGAGTATATAATTACTAGGTGGCCGGGCAAACGTTGTTCTGCCCTTTCTGACGACTCTTCCTATAAAACATTCGTAAATACACAATAAAAATATTTTGAGGGTCATTTAGCGGGATAAAAACTATACTATCTCTCAAGTTGGAGCAAGCAATACACATTTACAAAATTTCATTAAAATCGTTTGAGTGATTTCAGAGTTCATCGCGGACAAGCAATGTAACACGTAATTTTTATATATAAAGATAAAGATTATGTTTTAACTGTCACCATATAATATTATTGTGTATTTAAAAGCATAGTTAATAAGTGTGTATCTAATAATTTTAATGAATTATGGTAGAACTTTCATCACTGTACGATCAGTAATTAAGTCTTTAGAACACATCCACGATACAGAAGAAAATCCTTGTTAACGTTTTAAATTTGTAATACGCCATTTATCGGAGATTATCAAAATCTTTCGGTTCTGTTATTAAATTGTTTGTTTGTTACTAAAACGACACCATTAAAAATAGAGCTTACAACAACTTAATCAACACGCATTGATCATGAGTTGATGATTCTAGTGAGAATACTTGGTAATAGTCATGAATTTATTGTTTTGTAATCGATTGAGTGAACATGTTTTCAATGGTATATACAGCATGAGATTCGGCATATTTTTTATATTATACGTATAGATACACATATTTACTGCCAATTTTACACCAAGATAGAGGCACTCACTTGAATACACGAGTTACAAATATTAAAAACTCCTGCGGCATAAAGTTTGTAAATAAAAAAAAATTCCAATTACGCGTTATAAAAATATCCCATGAGCGAAAATAATCTTGTTATTTCTACAGTCTTTTATTCTTATTTGATCAATTGAAAGCTAAAATACTTTTATGATTTTTTATTCTTGCGTAAAATCTTTTCACCATGATCCCATTTCACAACTACTTCATTCGTTTTCTAAAAGTATATATCAACAACACAACATCATCCAGTCGGTTTCCACTGTCTTAACCATCTCAAAAGTTACTCTCTGTACAAGAATTACATACATACAAATATGTTAGAGTGTAATTTTTTTATCCCAGAACTTGGATCAACGTTATATTTTATATTTGTGAATAAAAGGATTATGGACTTCAACAAACTTTATTATTAAATTCAAAATTATGATCCAAGCCTTATCATAACTTACATATCATAGAATATAAACAATAAATTAAATATCGTTTCTAAATGAGACGCTAAATCTTTGGGTAGTTTCTGAATGACCATATATCATTTCAGAACTACATCAGCGACTGATTCAAAACGATCGAGCAGATCGTCGAACGCATCCTCCAGCTGTTCGGACCGCAGTTCCAGGTCCAGCGGTTATGGCACTGACATTCACAGAACCTCACAAGAGGAAAACTTTTATGATAGGAGGTGAGATAACTGGAATAAACTTCATTTATATATATTATTTAAAACGTCACTTGATTTTAATTCAAAGGAACGTATAGGTTAGGTTATGTAGTAACATTGTTTAATCTGTGGTATAACTATAATCAAACTTGAAATAGCTGGATAGGATATTATAAAAAGTGAGTGCCTCTAGTTTAATGAGGTAAAATATTTGACAGATTTTATGCCGGCAAAGATAATTTTTTAATTTGTTAGGAAAATGTAAGGGTTGATGTTGCTTTTTATATTATATTATATTTATATTATATTTTTTTATTTTATTTATAGTAGTTATATTTTATATTAATTAGATTAGAAATGAAAAAACCAATATTCCTAAAACATAAAAAATAAGTATTTAAAAATGTGCAAAAAATTAGAAAACAAGCCACTGAGGTATTGTTTGTGTATTTATATAATACTCTATATACCGATAAACTTTTATTTAAAACACAACTTCGCAATTATAATAACATTGTGTAACATGTAAAAAAAATATTATCTCCAGTGAGTCGGATTGCCGGCACATGGCCGAGTGCTGGTGGGAGGAGACGGAGTGCGACGACAGCAGCGCCTGTAGCGACGCCTCGCTCACCGACTTCACTGTGGACGACGAGGGCAAGTGGCACTGCCCACCTAAACATGTCTGGAAAGCCACCGTCGAGGTACCTCAAACTTATACATCTAATTTCGCTATTTATTGAGGTCTTCTTTTTGTTAGTTTATTCTAAAAAAATCTCGCGCACAAGAGTGGATAAGAATTAGCTCTTTTTCCACCACTTACTTCTCCTGAGTAGAAACTGGCACTTTGCCAAACTGACACTCTTGCGACACCAACAGGTCGAAGAATTGTATCTTTTTATAGGATAGGGTGATAAACGAGCACACAGTCCATCTGATGGTAAGTGTTTGCTGTGACCCATACACATCTACATCTATTCTCAATAAAGAATCAAAATACAGAAGCGTTGTCACCCGTGAGGACTAAGATCTAATGCCTCTTTTCCAGTAAAAAGTCTCCGGTTCTCTACACTCACCATACGAAACACAACAGTGTCAAGCTGCCATTTAACGTTGGTATTCTGTGAGAGTGTGGTCCTTCCCCGGTGGAGCCGACCCACTCGTGCTACAACTATTCTACTAATATAGCTGCAGCATGGCTCTACCACATGAATGTTGTAAAGTTTTGCTTCAATATTATTATGAATATTTATTAAATATATGTATATATTTTATATTTTATTATAATATTATAGAAAATTTTGGATGGAATATGGTGGAAAGCTGTGTCGTGGTAGTGTAAGAGATCCCACCACCTTAATTCGTTCCATAGATGTAGTAAAAAGGGATTACTGGGAATGCCAAAAGACATCTCGCCTCGCCGAGCATAATTTTCAATTTTTATTTTTAAACATTTGTTTTTGTTCGCAGGCTGTACATGAGTACAACATGATCCGTCCCGGAGACAAGGTGCTGGTGTGCCTGTCTGGTGGACGGGACTCCATAGCGCTGTTGCACTCAATGCACCAGTACCAGTTCTACGCGCGGGCGAAAGGAATACACTTCAGTATTGGTAATATATATTTCATTTTTTTTTCCGTCTTATTCTTAGCCAACATTTGTGCAAACACACGAATTATTGGTATTCGGATATTGATCTGTCGTGATTTTTCCCAAATTATTGTACCTACTCAGCTTTTTTATTTATTAAGAAAACTATTTACACTGTAAACAATGCTAATATTCTTATTAACAACTACAAGTAAGCTTAAAATACTTGCATTAGGAGTGGTTTGTGACAGTATCGAAGTGACGGATTCGAACCCACGACTATTATAGTTTGCAGTCCGTTCCCTTAAATATTTATTAGGTTTCTGTCGCTTCCAATTTATCACGTCACCATATACAGTTGGTTACGAGTTGATTATATCAGGATGTATGTTAGCTGTAACAATAACGCCCTTCTAACGCACGTAATAATAACGGCTTTGCAATGAGTTACAGCGCTAAGGATCGCGGGTTCGAATCCCGCAAGGAACAAATATTTGTATGGCCTACAAATAATTTTTCCGGGTCTGGATGTTTGTCCTTGTGAAATCTATGTATGTAAATTGCCTCCGCGATACAGGAGAAAATCCTAGTGTGGAGGTAACGTTTAAAAAAAATAATTTTGTCAAATTAATATGTGACATCTAAAATCTGATGAAATAGACTTTATTTAATCCCTGGTGCTTGGATTTTAAATATATTAAACAAGATCTGAAAAAATTGTAGTTTTTATTAAATCTATCCATTATTGGAGATATGTATTTCCACTATTGGTGTGTAAGGGGGTTGTAACCTCTTTTTATCATTATATGCATGACTACTATTCCGTTTAGTGGTAAGTACTTTTTTTTTAAAAAAACGTTACCCCCACACTAGGATTTTTTCCTGTGTCGTGGAGGCAGTTTACAAACATAAATTGCACAAGAACAAACATCCAGACCCGGAACAATTATTTGTAGGCCATACAAATACTTGTTCTGTGCGGAATTCGAACCCGCGGCCCCCAGCGCAACAACTGATTGCTAAGCCACTGCGCCACGGAGCCGTCAAGATGGTCAATAAGTTATATGTCCTACGTACTAATCGTAGTAATTATATTCTTTTTGCTACGTACTAGAGAAGCTATTCTAAACAAAAATTGTGCGCTACTCTATGCCTTCGCGCATGCGTGGAAGATAGTAGAGTCGTAAGATATTAATATAAAATAAATATAAGAATTTAATATAAAATACGCCTATTTTAATCTAAACAAACATATTTCTAAATAAGATGTAATAATAATTATCTTATGGAATTCACAAATCTTCAATTTACGCAATATTTAGTTTAGTGTACGGATTGCAGTACAGTTCAGTTGAACATAGTCAATGTTCGGAATGTAGATGGTTAATCACACTGATATAGTGTGCAGCGTGGCTTAATAATGTAATTTGAGATAAAATTATATTAATAAATACTTACATAGGAAAACCTTTGCATGCTTACAAGTATTTTTATGTCTAAGTGTAAATTCGTAACAGACAAATAAAAAATATCTTGGAAAAGAACTACATCCAAGTGACGATTGTGTTAGTAAGAGTATGAATCAAACTTAAGTAAAACGAACATATTATTACAGGAGCGCTATTTGTACACGAGCCTCAGTCAGATGTGGACCCTCTGCACTTGATGGCATACTGCAGAACACTGGGAGTTAAGTTCATCTATCAAGACAAACTGGAAGACGACGAAACTTTAAGTAAGTTATTATTGCATTGAAGTAGTGAAGGTACAAAAAAAATCATCTCCCTATTTCGCTGTTAGAGTTGAACAAGAAAGACAAGAATGATTCGTGAATTTAATAATAAAATGGCGAAAGATTATTATATGCTAACCTAAAATATCCAGGTGATTACGGACAGTTTTTTTTTAATAAAATAGGGTAATAGGATAGGGTGACAAACGAGCACACAGTCCACCTGATGGTAAGTAATTGGTGTGACTCATAGACATCTATATTTATTCTCAATAAAGAATTAAAATGCAGATGCCTTATCACCCGTGAGGACTAAGATGGAATGCCTCTTTTCCAGTAAAATGGGTCTCCGGTTCTCTACACTCACCATACGAAACACAGCAGTGTCAAGCTGCAATTTTACGCTGGTATTCTGTGAAAGCGTGGGCCTTCCCCGGTTGAGCCGACCCATTCGTGCTACAAATATACTACAAATATAGCTACAGCATGCATCTACCACGTATATAGTCTGTGATTGTAGTGTTTATTGAAAATGAAGTACAAATTAAAGTAAAAACAACCGTGTAGAGACGGTGTAAAGATATCCTCTACCTCCATATCGTTCCATAGGTGTCGTAAGGGACGTTAGAGGAAAATTAAAACAGGAGATGGGCTTTAGCATCTTCACGATAACAACTCAAACTAACAAAAATTGTCGTTGCCAACCCGCCTTCCAAGCAGAGCGACTATGGCAAACTCCTCCCCCCTCCATCAGGCAATCTATATGAGAGGCCTATGTTTATCAGTGGACTGTCATAGGCTGTAATGGTAGATGGAATTAATTAAAGTAAAAATTATTTTCCTTTAAAGGGCGTAGTGTCAGTAAATGTTCGGATCTGCACCGCTGGGCGTCTCATGCTGTAAGGCAGCGGGTCTACGCTGCTGCTGCGGCTCATGGCTACGGCGTAGCAGCTGTAGCGCAGTGCCTGGATGACGCGGCCGCAACCTTCGTCGCCGCCGCTCTCTACGGCGCCGCGCTACGAACTATTCGTGCACATTATCGAATTCGGTGAGTTCTCACCAATTACTTACTATATTTACGTCTTTTATGAGATCGCTGGAACAAATTTATCCGGCTCGAGGGACCAACTTAACGCAAAGCCCACCAAAACGAAGTAAGTTGTGATTTGGTCTTTGAATTGGATTAGCTTTATATAACTAATTTAGTCTTTCATAACAACTACAAGCCATATATATATATATATGGCTTGTAGTTGTTATGATATATATATATAAAGTGCCCCTTTCAAAATCTTCCGGCATGTATTACATCTTTGATAAAATTACACTAGTTGGGAAAAGCACTAAAACAGTAGAAGAAATCAATAAAATTTTGTTACTACTATTATTATTATTCTTTTATATCTTGTAATATATTTCCTAGAAAGTATGAAAAATGATATATTTACCAGTGTTACACCCACTGTTAAATATACAACGAACGTATTGACACAAACTGATCATTTTTATACCGATTGGTTTCTTTTTTTTTTGACTGAATCCGTCAATATGGGCTTCCCAATTGCCTGTTATTTGATTTCCAAATCTCATTTATTACGTTAGTCAATTTTTTTTACAAGTTAATTAAGACTTGTTGATTATTAATTTATTTTGAATCTTAAACATTTTAAAAAGGTCATCTGAATCCGAATGTTTTTGATCGTTTCTGAAATAAACTTGCATTGCGCTCGTGGTTCATGTTTATGGTAAGGGCATTTATCAAAAGACTGTAAGGTTCTTAGTCATTACAGGCGACAACTCATTTGTAGTCTTCTTCGTATGAAGTTGTTTGCAGATGCCCATGGTTTACATTAATTACTTACGATCAGATGGACTGTGCGACCCTTGCACTCTCAATTTATATATAAAATTCTGATATGAGTATGTTCGTAATTCTTCTCTAAAACTTTTTTTGGGCTACTTATGGTGTAACCTGGGTGATTCTTAGCTATTGGACACGGTAGGTGGCCCTGTTGTAGAGATCCAGAAACTACTCGTGTGAAGCCGGGGGGTTCGCTAGTAGTACTATAAAGAAACACAGAATGCTTTTATAATTTTTTAATTTAATTTACGCAATAATAAATATAAGATATTACTTCATATACAGGGACCAAAACATTCGTATCATCAGGCCGTTTATTTACGTGCGAGCGCGATCGCTCGAAGCTTTTGGATGCTCTCGAGGCTTGCCGGATTTCACCAGTTCAGAGATGCACAAGTGTTCCCCGCCCGCCAGCCCTGCGTGCAGTGAAATGAGTTCTGGAGACAGTAGGTAAGCACATCATTACTTAAAACAAAACATTTTTTTTTAAATTTTCCACTTAATAAATCCTAGTAATGCTATTGACAGTAACCACATTTAATCACTTCTGGTGATAAATATGCTTGTGCCAGGTATGGTTCACGACAGTAGTCAAATAATGGATGCGAATCCATGACCCATTGCATTCGCGGTCTGTATCCTGCCTTTAGGCTCCTACCGCTTATAATAAATTTAAAAGACTATGTAAGAATCATAATATATTTTCAGCACTTTCTTCCATCAAACGCCACAAAAGGCTGCTCTAAGGTTCTAGTTTAACATTAAGTTTTTGATCAAAGAACCAAACTACTGGTTGTTATTTACATTTGAAACTTTACTTAAAAGTTTTGAATTTATGCAGTCATGTGCAACACATATTAAATGTTATCTAAATGAAGTGATCGCTGCTAAGCGTTTTCTAAAATGAGTACAACTTATTTTGTTGTGAAGTGTTGCTGTGAAAAAAGTCTCGTGTTTTTTTTTTCCTCATGATTCTGCGAACTTTCCTGTATTTTATTATTATAAAACTGAAGTGAAAAACGAACTCACACCATAATTAGCATTATTAAATGGATTCCCTACAGTAAAGCAGTGGGTGAACGTGAACAGACGAGTGTAGAACTATCCGCTGTGGAGGCACTACGTTCGGCGCGCGAGCTTCTCGCCGCACAGGAACGAGTTCACTCGCACTTGTACACAAGTTTGAAGTCCGCCTTGCAACCACTCATCAGTGCCAGGTAATTGTAATTTTTCATCATCATCATCAATACAACCCTTTACAAGTCCACTGCTGAATATAGGCCTCCCCCAAGGAATGCCACAAAGCACAGTCCTGAGCCACTTGCATCCATCAACTTCCTGCATGTTTTAACAGGTCGTCACTCCATCTGGTGGGGGGGTCACCTTACACTTTGCCTACCAGTACGAGGCTGCCACTCAAGAACCTTTCTTCCCCATCGGTTGTCGGTTCTTCGAGCTATATGGCCGGCCCACGGCCACTTCAGTTTACTAATCCGTTGGGCTATGTCGGTTACTCTGGTTCTACTGCAGATATCCTCATTTCTAAATTTATCACGCAGAGAAACCCCGAGCATAGCCCTCTCCATAGATCGCTGAGCGACCTTGAGCTTCCTCATACGGCCAGCAGTGAAGGACCACGTCTCAGTTCCATAAGGCATCACTGGCAATACACACTGGTTGTACAATCTCGTTTTCAAGTTTTGAGGTATACCTGACGAGAAGATGTGTCGTAATTTCCCGAACGCTGCCCAACCGAGTTGAATCCGTCGATTGACTTAATTTTTAGTAACATAATGATAATTATGTCCTCCAGACCAAATTTCAGTGACCATTCACAGCGGAGACTAGCAATCGGCGCAGGACAGGATTATAGTGCCCAAGTGTATGCGCAAGCACAGGTGCACTCTCTATTTCCTCACTCTCATAGTCCGATGGGACGGTAAACCGACACGACCGGAGAGAGATCAGGCGCAGGACCAACGGCTTTAGGTGCTATCCGAAGCAAATGGGTGAAAATCTACCAAGTTACTCGAACTGACTCCGGGTTGCTACTGAGAGTTTTAATTTAAATATATTATATTTAAATTAGAATAAATGAATATTTTGTGGTGCGTGCCTCTGTTTTATTTGGCTGTCTTAAATTTAATTACATCACTTGTCTTTAATTTAATCACAAAATGGTAGAATTTAACACATGTTACCATTGATTGCGTCATAAGGAGGATATTTGCTATAGTTGCCATACTTAGCAACAGTTTTGAGTTTACTTTATTTTCTGGTTGTCATTTATAAGACTTGTACTGCCACCGCGTAGTTATTTACTTCTTATATCGTCTCCACCCGGTGGCAGTAGAATTAGTTCCAATCAAACTAATATTTTTTATTACTAAACGGTATTAAAACCGTGTTCAATATCGTCATCATCATCATCATCATCAGATAACGGCATAATGTATACACATTGTATACATTTTCGTAAATCGTATTGAAAATATGTTTGTTCATTAAAAAAAACTTTTTTCCAGAAACCTCCATCGAGATGTTAATGAACGCAGGCACAGAAAGAAGTCTGTGATTCAAATGAAAAATGGCGCTCCCGTATATGACTCCGATGAAGGAACTGAAGAAGAGCCAGTGCCATAGACAAAAGTTTGCCGCCAAAACGTTAATTAATTTATTACGTTGTAACCGGAGCGATTTGTGATTTCTCAGTCAGTGATTGTGTTATTTGTGATCAATGTTATAAACATTATTAGAAATACGTGCACTTTTAAATGTTCCGTGATTTTATGCTATATTTGTCGTGGAATATGAGTATTTTAAGGTTAACTTTGAGTTGCCATATTTTTATTGCATAAGTAGTGATTTTCCCAGCCTTTATATAATGTAGGAGTTGATTTTGAAGTTTTGAAACCAAGTGCATTTGTTCGGTCTGGTATATTGATATTTCACGTTGAAAATTATATTTTTTTAATATTGTTGTATGCGTGTTAATATCTGAGAGTAATACGTATATATTCAGCCTATTTATTGTGTCCAATTGTTCTTATTCAATGAAATATATTATATTAAGAGTTTATCGTGAATAGATTTTTATGTGCCTAAAATTATATGTAATAAGGTACTCACTATTATATTTTGATAAATGTTGATCTTTATCTCATTAGAGATATTATTTGTAGTTTTATCGTTAAATATTTGAAAAATAAAAATTACTATTTGTACAACGTAGAACTAGTGATAACTCAATATCATGTTATTATTACCTTTTTATTTTTATCTGAATTTAAATGCTTAACCAGTGTATTAAATTATAAAATGGAATTATAAAATCGTTGTTTTTTCATGTTTAAAAATAAACAACATCAATTTTGTAATTCAAAATTAAAAATATTTTGCTTTTGTCTCGTTCTGCCCTTTTGTATAATTTGCAAATGACCGGGCTATTCAGTAGTTTATATGGCAACATTAACATTCAGATTCTATTCTGACAACTGTTTCCTACCAGATTAAAATATGCATGTTAATGTCGGACTGATATTTTTTTCAAGTTTAATTTTATTGTTAGTCGTATTACATTGTCTTACTCTGCAGTGAAATATGTTTTTACTATATAAAGATTTTTATTAAAAGTTCGTTGTTTAATTTCCTTATGTTTTCTGTTGCAAATTAAATTAAGCCATCAACTAATATTCCTATAAATTTAATGTAAAATTGGTAACAATCACATTTGTCGCTTCCATAGTTAATACAACCTTATACCTACTTAATGTCACATGAATAAAGATTTTTTTCGTAAAATGACTATTTCTTATGTCTCATCCCTTATCACTACACATATTACAGCCTATAAAGCACATGAGTAAAGAAACCGACCAGAGGGGAAGCTACATACAAGCGGCTCGCTATGAACACACCCATACATAGCGCAGAGATGTGTGCGTGAGCTCTCACCGACAGGTTCACCGACGCTCCGTCGGGGTACAAACCGGTTTGCGCCGGCTCAGTCAGAGTATCCATGAAAGGGCTGTTTGTTAGTCGTGCGCATTTAAATAAATAGACCAACAATATTTCGAAATTTTATACATCAATTAATTTATTAAGTTTTTTTGCAATTATTAAATAATTAGATTTAAGTATTTTAGTTAAAATAATTAAGAATTAAGTTATTATAAATTTATATGGGTAAATAATAAGTGTTCTGTATAAGCAAAAATGCCTTATAGTTGTACGGTATGCATGAATAATTCTAGAGAAAATAAGGATATTTCCTTTTTTTGTACCCGAGAAATCAAGTGAAGTAAGTACCGTTTTACGGTTTTAATAATATACAATAAAACTAGGTAATAACATTGATAAGTAAGTGAGAATGTGTTAGACAGGTACGTCACCGAGTGATGAAGTCGGTCTCACCTACTTGAAACGTTAGTTAGTCTAACCTTGACAGTGCCGTAGATGGCAGGATATCCTACCCACCCACTTTAGAAGTAGGTTGCTTCCTTGTGAAGGATATAAGCTACTTTTTGCGAGTCGCGACCCCAGGAGTAAATACCACTGCATTATGATTGGAATATAACCGCCAGACATTGGTGGGGGTGATGGGATTAGTGTTGATGGAAGTAGTGCTGGTGTTGGTCGATAGTTTTGCTGATGGTATCAGTGGTGGTGGAGGTGGTAGTATCGTAGGTAGTTGTAGTAGACAGTGGACCAACAGTGGCTCCATCAACACCACCACCATCACCACCATTACTATAACCACCACCACCACCACCGCCACTGCCCACGACCTCCATCACAACCATTACTACCACCACCACCACTTACACCAACACTCTTGATTTCGAACAATTAATAGATATGTTGTTACATTAATATAAGATATAATTAATACATATGTTGTCTTATGCTATACAATATTTTTATTTTTTCCTTAAATTTTTCACATGCGTCATGTGACAACCCTATCAGAATAGGTATACATTTTCGACGTTGTTAAGAAGCTTCCCCTCTGGTCCTTACTCTTTACTCTGTGCTATAAAATCTACTGATAAACGTAGGTATCCCCCATAAATTGCCTCATAGCCATTGAGTTATAATATGTACTACGTACTAGAGAAGCTATTCCAAACAAAAATTGTGTGCTACTCTATGCCTTCGCGCATGCGCGACTCTACTACTCCCGCGCAAAGACTTTATCTTTATATATAAAAATTACGTGGTACGTTGTTTGTCCGCGATGAACTCCTAAACTACTGAACTGATTTCAATGAATTTTTGCATACTCTGTGCAGTTTGGTACAACTCAATATTTTTTTTATTGCAAATATAAAGATTTCTTATAGGAAGGGTCGTCGGAAAGGGCAGAACAACATCTACCTAGTCAGCTAGTATAATATAAAAATAATAATTATATAATTATCTTATGGAATTCACAAATCTTCAATTTACGCAATATTTAGTTTAGTGTACGGATTGCAGTACAGTTCAGTTGAACATAGTCAATGTTCGGAATGCGAAATCTAGTGCGTAGTAAATATATATCGATGCTCATAGCTGAGTTAGCAACCGCAGTTTTTATATAGAGATTAGAATGGCTCTCCAGCATCTTTTAAACGGGAAGGCCCCGGGCGACGATGGAGTTACAACGGAGCTTCTAAATCCTGTCATTACAAATCGTCTCACACGCAGACATGGCTACTTCCAGCCTACAGAATAAGCCGGTTTCCAAAAAGGCTTTAGTACCACAGATCACAAACACACTGCGGCAAATTTTGCAGAAGACCGAGAAGGGCAAATTGTCACTTTGTCGTGCATATGTGGCCTATAACAATATGACAATAATTATTGGACTGTTAAGATCAATGTCGAAATAATATGTGTACAATGTCGAATACACAGTTATGACTTATGGATCTAAGACGTTATCCTTCACTGCCGGCCGTATGAGGAAGCTCAAGGTCACTCGACGAGATAGGGAATGCTATGCTCGAGGTTTTTCTGCGTGAGAGATATAGATATGAGAATATCTCAGTAGAATCAGTACTCTGGTTACTATCAACATAGCCAACTATATAGCTCGAATAACCAACAACCAATTGGGAAGAAAGGTTCGGGTGGCAGCGTCGTAACAGTAAGCGAAGTGTAAAGCGGCTTCCCCACTACATCGACCTGATGAGAGAGATGCTGATAGTCGATGGATGCAGGTGGCTCAGGACCGTTCTTTATGTTTTTGACTCGAGAACCTTTTTCCTCATCGGTTGTCGGCTCTTCAGCTACATATCCCGCCCATTGCGGGTTCGTTACTCAAGTGGAGATGGCGAACGAGTGGAAATACTTTGTATTTCGGTGCGTTTTGCCCAAGGAAAAACAGGGGGAGAAGAATTGTTTTCCGAGGAAGGGATGCCAGGGTGCAGCTGACGCTGTTGAGATTGCGTGGCGATATGTGTGAAAGCATACCCGTGGCCCTGCCGATATTTGGCGAAGGTGAAAAACTGTAGGATTTTAGTTGATGCGATACAAGCATAGCCCGTCCTTGCCTTCGGGAAGCGGATATGCGTAAGCGTTTGTCATTAAAGGCCTTGTGACTGTTTCTGGAGAATGTTTTAGAAGTAAATGTTTTTTTAAATTCATTGCTTATAAGGGTAAATAATTATCCATATAAATAGACTGCATTGTTCTTATAAGAAAGCGATGAAAAGTTTTTTACCATATTGCTTCTAAATCTCTACAGGCGTTTTGAATTAATAGGAACAAACACAATTTTCTCAATTACCTGTTTTTTGTGCATATACATAAGGTAATGAAACCGGTTGTCCACAGTGATCTGAAATAAGTTTTTGAATTATTCATTTGTTGATTGGTAAAACACCTGTAAAAATATTATCAATACAAGTTGCACTGTACCCTACAATACGTGTAGCTTCAAAGAATAAATTATTAAGATTATAGGATTTGAACAAAGAGCAAAATTTAATACGGATGAAAGAAGTTTCCAGGAGATAAGTCTCTAGTTATGCAGCAAATGCTGTAAGAAAGATTAGAAGTCTCACAGATGTTGAGATAGCTAGATTAGTGTATTTTAGTTACTTTCATAGCGTAATGTCTATATGGAATTTTGCTATGGGACTGATATTGAAGCTATATTTGTTTTGAAAAAGAGAGCTGTACGGACGATTTATAACCTAAATTGTAAAGAGTCCCTCAGAGAAAAATTTAAAGAAAATAAACATACTAACGTTGGCATCGCAATATATTTATGAAAATGTAATGTATGTACATAAAAACATAAATAGCTTTAACTAGAATAAGGATGTGCATACTTTAAACACTAGGAACAAACATAAGCTTGTAATGCCAGTTACTAGACTCCACAGAATTAGTAATTCATTTATGGGGCAATGTATACGCTTTTACAACAAAATCCCACAACATATTCAAAGTTTGTCAATAAACAAGTTTAAAAGTTTTATTAAAGAAAATCTGTACAAAAAGGGTTATTATAATATCAAGGAATACATGAATGAAAATAACCCGTGGGAATAAGGTGATCGCCACCATGCTGGTTCTATGAAAATTCATTTAAAAATTGTATAAACAAAATTATTGTTAAGTGAAATATGTTTAAAAAAAGTCCCGCTAGGTTT